TGGGCCACACAGTCATAACGTTCGTTTTTAGCAATTTATTGCAAATTTTTCATGCAAAAAAAATATGGTCACCTTAGTAATATACAGTTTCATATAAGCATATATAATCATTGTATACATACTTTTCCGGTATTTGATAAGTTAAAAATACTTTTTAAAAATCAATTAATTCAGGACAAATACTTCTAGAAAATTTGGGACACATGATGGAAATTTGGGATGGCCCCGGAAAACCCTAGATGCTTGATCAGATTATAAATATGTGAGTATGTATATAGAAATAATAAATATTTCCTTATCTATGATTTTGATCTTTTAGAAAAAATGGTATATCGTTTTATTTTGATTCTATGAAAAAATGCATTACCCAATAAGTAAAGGCTTATCTAATATAAAGACTATAATAATTATTATTTAAACGAAACATATTCAATGTTAATAAAAATATTATATACTCCTTTAATATTTTAATAATATTTTTTTATCAATTTAAGAGTGATGGTATACTGTTACGAAAACCATGATAAAGTTAATGAACAAGAAAATGAAATAATTAAGTAAATTATATAAATATATTTTTATTAATATATGATGTTCAATGATAACATGAAAATACAGAATGAAATTACTCTAAACACATCTTACATGCTTTTATAATTACAATTCTCAAACACTTACATCAACATCATATTTTAACATTAATTACAATTTATCGTTCACGTCATAAATAGAGTTTTGTAAAATTTGTACACGATATCTCTATTTATAAATTTGTAAGAATATATGTCAAAGTATTATATAATTTGAATCTGAGTGCATATTTTGAAAGAGATCTACATCGGGTTATTTTGAAATAATTCTATTATTTATACAACAATATATGTTACTATAATTAGGATTGCATAGTTTTTATAAAATATTGTGATGGTCTAAATATTATTATTCTAGAACGTTTGTAAAACTCTATTAGATTTTTTCGGAATTTAGAGAATATAATTAATGTGTCTCATTCCAACTCAAGACTCAATGTTGGTCCCTTTGAAGCCTTGCAATATATAACATTTTTAAATTAAATCGCCTTGAGAGTAAAAATATTTTTATCTATCTGTTTTTAGCAAAGAATTTTTTTAATTACAAATAGATATCCAAAAAATAAAATATAACATGAGTGACTACTTCTATTTTAAACACATAACAGAAATATTACATTTTTATATACATCACATTGATATGTTTAGTGTACTTTAAAAACATCTTTTATTTACATACCAGGTTTTATATAATAGTTAACATATTAAACTTATTTATTTAATAAATAATTTATCAATAATGTTTAAAATCTCATTCTATCACTGTACTTAATATATTTTTTATTAAAACTTTACAATAAATTAGAGAGTATTAGAAACAAGAAAAACTCAAAAACATGTATTCAATTTACCAAAAAACATACATAAATTATGTTTTATCCGTATGCAGTTTTCAAAGTGGAGCAATTTCCTTGTAAATTCAATAAAAATAGATATTTTTGAGATTTCTATAATTTATATATAATATCTGTATAGCTCGATGTGAAATTATAAATGAACAATTACTTTTCTTCACACGATAACAATTAATAGTGCTTTTAAACCATAGTTATAACATTTATAAATTTTCATAATGATATGATGAGATGTCTAACAGAAAGCACAGTTAACAATGTATATATTTTTATTATATATGGACAGATATTCCAAACCAAAAATTACTAATTGCTAGGGACGCTAATATATAGATATATATCATATTTTTCAAATTGCTATGTATGACAAGAATATTGACTAATATTTGTGTAAATTCATTTAAAATACTCATGGCTATTAAGTAAATCACAAGTTTTTCCATATTTTAATTCACATGTTTTTACTTGCCTGCATTCACAAGGTAACACATTTTTTGTAATATAAATATTATCAACCTTGTTTCATCAAACACTTTACACCATAGTTCGTCAAATATATTTTATTAATAATATATTTTATTAACAGTTTTATTATTTTTTTTCTTTTCTTCGGTTGTCAAATAATGTCTTTATATTTAATTTGTGCGACATTTAGCGTTGGCAATTGTTGGCCACTCGTGTCATTATTATATCTTTATTTTTATTAGATTTTTGTTACTTTATTTTTATGTTACTCTGTAATGTTGTTAAATTTAGTTTCTTTTATTTGAAGATTTTTTTTATAAATTTTTATTATGTAAATCAACTGTTATTTGATATTGGAATAAAATAGAACATCACTATCATCATGTATCATCATCATAGATGAGTTGAAATATCACATGTATATAAATCTATTTTATCCACACCAACTCTGATTTATCATAATTTAGTAATATTTAATCATCTTGAAATGAAGAATGAGTAAATTGCTGTTTTAAGTAAAACAAACATTTTGTCCTCTTTTAACAAATTAAAGTACCAATTTTATATAACTTCATTAAAAAAATGTATCGTATTGGCAAGACTAAAGCAGACAAACATGCTATAATAACTCATGAACAATGTTAAGTTTTGTAATCTATAATATTTAAAAAAATATAGGTAATTTGAAATTGATATTGCGTCACATACTTTTTGGAGCACTTATTGAACTAAGTTTTCTTCTAATATAACTCAATTAACATTTTGTATTTTACCTGAAAATTAATTATTTCACGCCAAAAGTATGATCTTTTTATTTATAATATTTCATTAATATATTAGATCTCTATTTTGTCGAAATGTACAAACCCAATAATGTTATAACATTATATATATTAGGTTGACATCAACAAGTTTGCGGCTTTTTGTTAGAAAATGACGTTTTTTCAAGGAGGTAAATAACTTTAATTTATAATGTATGTCTATTCTGATCAATGACTTTTTGTCATCTTTCAAGTAGAATCGCCATCTCACTTTCATAAAACTTCTGATTGTTACAATACAGAAGGTGCAAATTCAGGAGTCCTGACTCAGGACTGTATGGTGGATATGGTTAAACATCTTAGCCAAGCTTCAACAATTTTTGCCAAGTGGCCGAACGTATGTGATGTCAATAATGGAATAAATCACCGTTTCGATTTGTCAACTCAGACCACTTATTTCAACTGCATTGTTGAATTTCGTTAGTTGTTTAATGTAGACATCAGAATTGGTTATTCGGATGGTAATAACAGTTGGCAAAAAAAATTTGGCAAATCGTTGTTCCATTTCTTTCCAAATAAAAAATTCTTTTTACCGATGGACATCTAAACCGCCTACTATGAACAAAGTTGTTTAAATTTAGACTTCGTCAGAAAATCCATAGATAAATAAGTATAATGAGCAAACCTAAAGATTCAATCAAAACTAGGGTTTATACAAAAACCGACATTTCAAAAAACCGGTTTTCGAATTTTAATTTTGTTAAAAAACCGGTTTTAGCCGGTTTTCGAATTTTATATAGAAAATAATTTTTTGCTCGAATATTCTGTAATTTATCCGCAAATTTAGAGCAGTATTTGACTGAGTTTATTTATTGTTCAATTTTATGGATAGTAAACAAAATTATTTTAATTTTAATTAGTAGAACTAAAAAATAATAGTTTATCCGGATTAAATAACATTGAAAATAATTATTCGTTAATCATGCATCATTTTCACATATAAAAGAATGAAAATATTTTTATGATAGTGGAGGGAAAGTTTTCGAATAAATAAAAATAATACATTTTTAAATAAAAAACATTCAATAAATTAAAAAAGAATTAGATACATGTTGATACATATTTGTTAATATCAATTTTAGTTTTAAAAACAATTAAGCTAAACTCGGGTATTGCCTGTTCCGAGCAATTTTAATTAATTTATTTTTAACATTCTAATTGTTTTTTTTGTTTAATAAAATATGATTTCAAAAAACTGAGAACGTCTATCGAAATGCTACTGAAATAAAAAATGCTCTCATACTTGCGACCTAATTATGCTTAATTGTTTTTAAAGCCTGATATAATAATTCTAAGCTTTTTGTTCTTTTATTTGCGGCTTCTAGGGTTTAAAACTATTTTCTTAAAGTTTAAGTAGACGAAGTTACTTCTTCAAGAAGAAGTCACACTGATTTAAATTAAAATATACCCTAAAAATCTGAATTAATATATACAAAACCTTTCTGGGAACCATTGCAGACTGATAAGATATCAAATGCTATTGAACCGATATGATTTTAAGAATCAAAACGCTTTCACCTATCTTTTATATTTGGCTATATTTGTCATTTTCCATTTATACAGTAAAAGCCGACTTTCTTCACTAAAATACCGGTTTTCGAATTCCATAATTTTCGCCAAAAAAACGGTTTTCCTAAACCCTAATCAAAACCATCTAAGTTGAGAACCGCACTTACTAAGTTAGCCAACCTAATACTTCCTGGATCTGGTGTTTAACAAAATTGTCAGAAAATTTATTGCATAGTGCATATTTAATTTAGCGAGTGTATTTAGTTTGTAGAAATTGTATATCATTGCAATCTTTAATTGCAATTATATTCGTTTTTGGATAGTTTTTCTGATAGTTTTTTTTGATAGTTTTTCTGCTTTATAGTTTTGTATAAACAAAACAGAATGTCCGTTCACTATCGACAACCTCGCTGTTTGAAATTTGTCTACAGTCGTTTATATGGTGAATAATAAATGCTATTTATTAATCGATTGTGGTATATGATCCCATTTTCATCATGGTTTTTATGATAGTTTTTTTGGGTAGTTTTTCTGCTCTATAGTTTTGTATGAACAAAACAGATTGTCCGTTTACTATCGATTACCTCGCTGTTTGAAATTTGTCTACAGTCGTTTATATGGTGAATAATAAATGCTATTTATTAATCGATTGTGGTATATGATACCATTTTCGGCATTGTTTTTCTGATAGTTTTTTGGATAGTTTTTCTGCTCTATAGTTTTGTATAAACAAAACAGATTGTACGTCCACTTTTGATTATCTCGCTGTTTGAAATCTGTCTACAGTCGTTTATATGGTGAATAATAAATGCTATTTATTAATCGATTGTGGTATATGATCCCATTTTCAGCATTGTTTTTCTGGTAGTTTTTTTGGGTAGTTTTTTTGCTCTATAGTTTTGTATAAACAAAACAGATTGTCCGTTCACTATCGATTACCTCGTTGTTTGAAATTTCTCTACAGTCGTTTTATATCGTATGGTGAATAATAAATGCTATTTATTAATCGATTGTGGTATATGATCCCATTTTCAGCACTGTTCATCATTGGCGATCAGCAGCGACGCAGATTCTGGCCGCTGGACGGCCTTGAGTTATATCCAGGTGCGCCTGGTGCCGGTCAGATCGCCGTCGTCGTGTTGTCAGGGTGAACCTCGCCACCTCTTTCCGCCGCCGGCGGTGCTGTAGTAACTGGCGGTCGTCACTGCGCTGGGACATCGGGACAGATGTAGCGGAATGCGTACTGAACCTAGAAATAGTGGAATTTTAATTAACTTTCCGTTAAGTAAGTTATAGTAATCGCAAAAAAATAGAAAATGAATTTTTTTATATATCTTTACCTTTACGATTCAGAGGTTTCTGAACATTTTGGCTTATCTTAGAAAAAATAGATGTATGTGCGGATACAAATTTTAGTCGAAGATTGCGTTAACACGGTTCAACCGATTTTAATAATTCAAAAAACATTTTACTTGTATTGACAAAATAAAGAACTGAATAAATTTTTGGGAAGGCAGGTATAGCTGTTTCAGAGATTGAGTTAAAAATGTTAAAAAAAACATTTGAGGGTAAAAATGATCATTAGACATATGCACATCAAATTATCAGATATTTTATAGAAATCCTAATAAGTTTAAATTTTACACTTTTATGCGTTCCGTGACATTGTTTTTGTCTTTACGTAGCCAAAGCGGCGCGATAGCTTTGAAAAAAACTTCAAAATTTTCAAAATATTTCAAAATGTAAAAAAAAAATTAAAATAGTTCATTTTTTTCAAAAATTTCAAAATTCTCAAAACTCATTTCTTTTCAAAGTTAAAAAAAAATCTTTTCTGAAATATTTAATTATTGGTACGAAAAGTTCTGGCAATTCGCCTTAAAACACAATGCTATATACTAATAATTTTATTTTTTATATTTGTGGCATAGAAACTGTTCATTTTTATCATAGTATGAATGATTCAAGGCGGTATTCTAGTCTAGAATACCACTAGATTTCCATCTAGTGATCCGGGTTTTTATAAAATCATTTTTCGGCCCGGATTGTACCGCGTTCTCAAAAAGTATAGGTTTAAATCGAATCTTCGCAATGCTTGATACTAATATTACAACTACCCATCAAATATCTGGAAACGATATATTTCACATCACTCAATAAATCCGTAGGATAACTAAGAAAAACTAATTTTTTTGCAAATTTCTTTTTTTTATGAAATATAGTTTCTTCAAAGACGATATAACGATTATAGCGAACTTCAAACTTTTCGAAACCATTTTTTTAGTACGATTTGTACTTTGCCACAAAATTCAGCTATCATCTCATCATTTGGTAAAAGTTTCTTCACAGCAAGCATCCTTTTGAGATCTGAGATCGGTATATGGTCGCTGGGGAACAGATCTAGAGAATATGGTAAAAGAGAAAGCAATTCGGAGCCCAATTCATATTTTTCATCTTTTTATTTTTTGTGACCAAAATTTAAAGTTGGTCATTCAATAGGTTTTAAGATATGCGAGGTTGATGGGTGGCTGGCTCTGCTCTCAATACTGGTATTGAAACAGATTGTACATTTTCAAAAATGCATAATTCGATTTTGATGAAACTTATCATACATTGTTACTACACTTTACTGAATATTTGACAAAAATTTAAAGTTGAAACATTCAATAGTTTTTCAGATATGCGAGGTTGATTGGTGATTGGCTCCGCGCTTAATACTAACATTTAAATACATGGAATGTTCTCAAAAATGCGATTTGCGATTTTAATGAAACTTGACACACATTGTTAGTATACTTTATCAAGATTGTGGCAAAAATTTAAAGTTGGAACATTCCATAGTTTAAATCATTTCTAAATTTGCCCTGGACCCCCATTTATTTCGTGGACCCCCAAATTTTGTTTTTCCTACCGTGGACCCCATGGAAGTTGCCATGGACCCCTGGGGTGTCCATACCTCGCATAATATTTGAGATATTATCTCGAAAACAATTATCTTCACTAACTAAAAATGTTCGTCACCATTTGGGTAAACTTACTTAAAAAAAGGTAAGGAGAGTAAAATTATATTTTGCAGTCAATTATAATTTTTTTTAGAAAATTCACAGATGATGATAAATAAATATTCATTTAATTTTGTGCATTTTTTGTGAGGTATTATGATTATAATATCTGCTATAAGCAAAGATCAATAAAAAACTATATTTATATGGAAATATCATTTGTATACTTAATAAATATTAGAGAGCATCAAATATCATGGAGTGATAATTTCCATAAACTTGTTATTTCAGTAAATTTTCCTGGTAGTGAAATAAGAATAGAGTGTGAATCTCGTTTTTCTTTATCCATTAGTGATATTAGGTTGTCAAATATCTCCTTTCCGCCTTTTTGTATTATACACCAATAGCAAAAAAGCGGAAGGGAGATATTTGACAACCTAATATAAATCTGTAATAGTTAATGCTGTACGGTAAATTATAAAAATGAGAAATATTAGTTGATTTCAATTTACGACGAGAATTAAATTTGCTCATAAATGTGTTGACAGTAATTTGAACGAGATATCACTTCAAAAACATTCATTGTTGAAATAATTATTAGGAACTCAAATGTAATACTGATATGCGAGTACGATATGTATAATAAGTACATTTTAATTAGAGATCACGAAATTTCATATTCTTCTAGATTTGTAGTAAGAACCGAATTGGATTTGCATTAGAACAAACTGGTGACACTGCTCAATTTCAGACTGTATAAATATATACATATTATGTTTAAAATGCATTACAATCTGCCAAAATTGATTTATTCATATACATTGATAAATGTCCGAAACTCCCATGTTACCAGAAATTGTGAATAATCAGATCTCAGATATCAGAAACATACATATCAGATTTAGTTTGCCAAGTTCGGCACAATTCTGTGTATTTTGCAGTTCGTTGCATTTCACCGCAAATGCTATTTATGTCGCCTGCAGCAGCGAATCGACAGTGATAAATGAAATAATAATACCAATGTGATATATGGATGACTTATACGGCTTATAGGAATATGTGCAGAATACTGATACGATTGTACAAGAATATTTCCGCTTCGGAAACTGCAGATTTCCAAGTATTAAGTGAAAGGGTTTGTGTGTAGAAGAGTTCCAGATGATTTGTACATTTTGTCACAAAAGAAATTAAATTGCATCGCAGAATTCAATACCATAAAATATGATGAATTGATAAACCCAATCCATGGGACATGATATTTAAGACTGATACTGACTTCGATGGATTTTTTTTAAAACACGTATACAACTATATTATGACGCTTGAATGAATTTTATATCAAGAACATCATGATGAACAAGCTTTGAATTTGCAACAATTAAAAACTCCGATAAACGCAGATAAAGATCCATTAATAAAGTTTCCATTTTATATATTTCCAGACTTTTAACTTTGCCGACTCATTTATTTGACGTCTCTCAGACGTCGTGCAAACTTTAAATAATCTTCAGAAGTTAGTCATATAACTCAGATCATTTTGTCTAATGAAATACAAAAAAACAATGGACATTTACGGATTGCTCAATTTAAAAGTATCACCTCAACATTTAATTGGATGTCTTTGAATTACATATTCGTCTAGGTTTGTAATCAGGACGAAATTAGATTTTTATGTAAATTTCATCACAAAAAACTGACTATACGCAATTTAAGGCTTTATAAATATTTAGATAAGTTTTATTTAATGAAGTCATATAGATTTTGTGATAGAAATGTACTGTAATGCTACAGAATTATATAAACAACCTCGTTATGATGAGAAACTAATCTGATTTTTCATTACGAAAATAAAAAAGCCTATTTTCAAAAACATATGTAAGATTAAGAGATTAAGATATCACGCCGGTTGTCTATAATATTTTAGACCAAAGTTTATCACGATATCACGCCGGTTGTCTATAATATTTTAGACCAAAGTTTATAATCCCCAGTTCAGATTTTAAGAATACCATTCTTACAAGAAATTCTAGATTCAACATGTCTAAACTTTTGTGAGATGGGTAGATAAACAGATCATTTTAATAATCATCAATTAACCTGATGCCAATGCAGATATTATAATATCTTTATTATTCAAGGACTCATTTTTGAATAAGTGACTAGAACCACTGGATCTTAATCGAGTCGAAGAGCCTGATGTCAAGCAGTAGTGATATCCGTTTTTACTTGAAACTTTAGATATCAATATATTATATATAAGTGAAAATGACCTCATTGCTGCATCAATAAAATATTCGCCCTAATATACAAAAATTCTAATAAAATTTATTACACAGAGATGAGACAACTGTTTGAGTTGCCATCTGTAAAACCGACGTAGTTTTAAGTCAAATTGGCCCAATAGCTTATAGGACTCATAAATTCTTATTTCTGTTCAAAACAATAAATAAAACTTTAACATTTAATTGCTATACTCATCATACCCATAGACACTCAATGAACCCACTTAATTAAAAGTAATATTATATCAAATTGTAAAAGTTTAGAACGATTTTTCTCAAGTTTTGGGTTTTGATTATAAATCTTTTTTCAGTGCAATAACAAAACTTGTGGTGCATGGCATTGTGCCTTAAGGCAAATTGCTGAAACTTTCCGTACCAGAATTAAATACTCGAAAAAAACAAATAGTAACAATTGTTTTAAATATTTTCAAATATGTAGATAATTATAAATACTATATATTTTATGGCTCATATTAGGCGTTAGACCTGCCTTTCAAACATTTAATCAATTTTTTATTTTGTTAATATAAGCAAAATGCTTTTTAAATCATTCAAATAGGACGCTCTGTTCTCTCACAAACTGAATTACTGTTTTTTGACACTTCTTGCCGCGTATCTTCAAAACAGCTGTCATCGCCAAAAACTAATCAGCACATCTTCCCACCAATATAAATCTTCCCACAAATATAAATCGAATGTTTTTTGAATCATTGAAATCGGTTGATTCGTGCGCCCGAAATCGTGGAAGAAAAATTGTATCTAAACATACACACACACACACACATACATCAATTTTTTCTGAAGTATGCAAATGTTTAGAAACCTTTAAAACGTAAAGAAATTCAAAAATTTTCATTTTCGATTTTTTTGCGATTACTATAACTCACCCTACGGGAAGTTAAAATTAAAAATAAAGACATTATAAAAAATAATTAAAATATGATATTGATTATTATTACCAATTAATA